AAACCATGAGCCCCAAATAAACTCTCCTCTTTTAAATTGTTCATGTCATGTATTTTGGTCATGGTGATAAAAAGCTGAGTGCCTACCTACCCACATGCTTTGTGCTTGTATATAGAGTGGACATTCCTCACTAAGGGTGATGATATCTGGAAGCCAATTTCCTAGTAAATGGATATTCTAGTTCTGATCACCAAGGAATGCCTCAATGTGTTAAAAGGATAAACTTAAACTGAAACCATCCTGTTGAAGACGGGAAAGTTTTCCTGAGAAAGAAGTTATGGGCAATAAAGTTATATTTATCTAGATTTGGGTCTATATTTGGCTAAAAAGACATTTTCTCCATCACCATTCCACTTTACTAGCAGAGAAAACTGTGATTGCTCAAATTGCTCAAAGATGTTACATGTTTATACTTTTTTGAAAATCTTAAGATCAAGAGGAAAAATGCACCTAATAGGAACCGTCTGCTGGAGTCGTAAACAGGCCTAGTTCAGATAAGATGTTATTGAATCTGGTGAATAATTTATACTTGGATATTTTAGAGACTACAAATACTAAAAAGCTACTACATTCAATGATTTTTTTATAATATTGAGAATAAGATGTTATAAGTTGAAAACAAAATCCAATATCTGTTTTCCTAGCATGCATAGATTATTCACTGGTTACAAATTAAAAGAAAGTTTATCTTCAAATATCTAAAAAAAAGTAATAATAATGAATAAGGTAAGTCATAAGACTAAAGAATAAGTTGAAAACTCTTTCGTGTGGCCTCCGTTACACTTTTCATACTTACAAACTGCTCCCCTAGTTCTTTCTGTACAAATCTCTCTGGACCTATTTTTGCTCCTCAACATAGCTGGTTTCCTGCCTGCTTACAAAATTTCTACCTGCCATTCCTTTTTCTGGAATGCTCTTCCCTAATTCTTCCCAATACTTAACCACAGTAATGAGGAATTTTTAAAATAAATTAATTTATTTTAAATGATACCTAAAATATAAAAATCATACATATTTATGGAGAAGTACCATGTACTGTTTTGATACATGCTTATGTCATGCAATGTGTAAATCAGAACAAACATCAGTCCCCTTTAACATTCATCATTTTTTTAAGGTAAAGACATTCAAAACCCTTTCTCCTAGCTTTTTGAAGTATTCAGTGTATAATTATGCCCTGTAGTCACTGTATTGTGCAAGAGCACACCAGAGCTTCTTACTCCTCTGTAACTATAACTTAATACTCATCAATCAGTCTCTCCCCACACTTCTCTCCCCACCACTCTTCCCAGCCTCTGATAACAATCAAATACTCTAGACTTCTATGAGGTGAAATATATAAATATATATATATATATATATATATTTTTTTTTTTCCACATAAAATGAGATCATAAGAGTAAGAACTTTGTAAAAGCAGAGACTATAGAGCCTGAATCCTGGGACACAGTGAATTAACACATGTAAATGACTAGAAGGTAATTAAAGGCTTAATTATTGTACATCACTGTTGTTCTGGTTGTCATGGTTAGCCAGCTATTGGACAGTAAATCCCCACAAAGAAGTCTCCGCTGAACATTGAATGCAGAGTTTCTCCTGCCACACTTCCTTTTCCAACCTGTCAATCTCTGTCACATCACATTTCCAGTTTCCTTCTTGCAAATGAGGTTTGTGTCAGAAGCAGCATTTTATAGAAAGTCTAAATTCCTAGGGACTAGCTTATTTTTAATACTAAGAAATATTTTCTCTGGTTTTCACAGGTAAAAAAAAAACATATATACATATATAAAATATATGTGTGTGTATATATATATATATATATACACATATGTGTGTGTGTATATATATATATATATATATATATATATATATATAGCCTGTCACAGTGGTGTTGACAAAAAGCCTACTTATTTTTAAGTGAATAGAATGACAGCGTAAGTGGCACGCTGGCGCTGTGGTTTCTTGTTGTGGGAAAAGGGGCCGGAATAAGGAAACACATGATTATATGTAATGTGCTGTCTTTCTTCAGGCAAGTCAATGGAATACTATCTCCTGGAGACAGTGGCTAGGAACATAATGAGACTTTTCATATTTTGAAATCTAAGATAATGACATCGAGTAAATTAAATTTGTGTGAGAAGGAAAGGTTGAGAAAGAAGAGTCTTAGGAATCATATTCCAGCCACCTCTCAGAGACTACAATTTTTTGGATTCCTTCAAGAAAATTATAAAATTTTTACTTTATGAAAACCATTGCCCAAAAATAAGGTAGTGGCTGAAAACCTAAATACATTCCAGAGATTTTAGATAAACTCTTGCACAATCGTTGTAGTGAATCATTACAGTGTTTAGCTTCTAACTTTTGAATATTTTCCTTCCTGGAGACAAATCCAGAAGCAATGGATTTTGGTGCTCATCTAAGGAAGAAAGTCCTGGGGTAGAACTGATGGTTGCTCTGACAAACCCATCCCCAATATAAGCACCATGACATTCTGTTATTCCTTCCACCCATCCCTTTCTCAGGTCATTATTTTCCTCCTCTTCATCTTTAGATCAAATGAGGGGAAAAAAGGGAACATCGCAGTGCAAAGTGGATTTAAGTCAGGATATTTTACAACATAAATTCTTTCCTCTTCTTCCCACACTTAAATCTCCAGTCTGAGTTCACCCTTTTAGAGAGGTTGAGTCCAGATCTCTGGATTTCTCAATGATCGTTCCGCCAAATGCTTTTCCAGTACTTCTCACCATCATAGCTCCAGTCATCACAGGCAACCCAGCCTTCTCATTTCACAATCATTTCTTTTACAAACAAGAAAGCTAAAGCCAAGAGAGAGAGAGTGAACCACTTATCGGGTTTATTCCAAATAAGAAGATGATATCAAAACTTATGACCAATAAATTTCTTGACTCACAGATGAAGTGAGAGACAAGTTGCTTCATTTGGTGCTGGAAATAACTCCTTCTTCTCAAGTTTGCCTGTATAGGGCTCCCGGGATACAGAAGCCTCACTCTTGCATAACCATGTGGAGTGGGAGAAAGGGAAAGTCATGTCCTCTGATGGTGGGTGGATGGCAATTTAGAGGGAGAGGATGGGTGGAGTGGGTGGAAGGCTAACCGTGGAAGGATGCTGCATGGATTGTAAAGAAACAGTGGATCCTTGGGCCAACAGGTCTGAGTCAGCCCCAGGAAATAGATCATCCTCTTCAACTTTGTCTTTGCAAAGGGAAGGTTTTTTTTACTCACTGTGTCTAACACCCTACTCTAGGGGCATTGAATACATTTTCTCATTTAATTCTCACCACCATCCTAGAATAAAAGCATCACTACCTTTATTTTAGGATTGATGCTAATAAAGATTGAAGAGATTAATTAACTGGCCCAATTAATTAACTAGCTACTACATGGATAAGCCAAGCTGTCAAGCTAGACCCTCCTGATACTAAAGCCTTAAGCAAAGATAACCAAGCTTCCCATAGGGGAGAAAATTTCTATGGAAAAAAATTGAAGGCCTGTATATACAACTGACTTCATCACTGTGAGCTCCTTGAAAACACAGATTTTTGTTGGTGGTGCAGTGGTTTTCATATCCAAGTTGTCAAAGGATAAAAAATCCTGGTATGCATATCCAATAAATGTGTTTTACTTCTGTATAATGTTCATATTAGCAAGGGGCTGGTTGTAGCTAATAAAAGTAGCAACAGGAGCTGATAGACAAGTGGCAACAGAAAGATCTCTGTCCCTACCATCACTTAAATGTCTCCAAAGGATCAGGGGCAAAGTTAATTGTGTAAGACAGCTTTGACAGGCAGAAATACTCACCAGTATACTCACCAGTATGACTAGAAGACAGTTTTGAGATTAGTCTGTGTTGAAAGAGAAGTCCGAAAAGAAGTCTTATCAAAGAACCAAGGGTCAGCATCCTCTGTCCTACTTTTACCATTAACCATGTGGCCTGTAAGCTATGTTAACTATCTGCTTCTATAACAAAATACCCTAGATAATTGACTTAAAAAGAGAAAAGATTTATTTTGATTCATGGTTTTGGAGGCCTCAATTTATGACCAGTTAGCTCCATTATTTCGGCCCTGTGGCAAGAATGCATGGTGGAGGAGGAGAGATAAGAAAGAGAGAAAGAGAAACAGAGAGATATAGAGACAGAGAGAGGGACTGGTGTCCCACAATTCCCTTCAAGAGCATGCATGCATAGAGCCTGAAATCTCCCACTAGCACCCCACACACACACTTTAAGTTTATACCACCTTCCAATAGTGCCATGCTGAGGACAAAGCTTTTAACATATAGGCCTTTGGGGGACATTTCAGATCCAAACTATAACAGAAGGTAGCAGGTGTGTGTTGTGCTATTATTGGCCTCATACTATTGTGTATATATTTTGGTCCTTTTTCAATGCTTCTCATTCCTGCTATTACTATGTTCTTCAAAATGCAACATGCATCTCTAAATCATGAGAAAGTTAATTCAGAAGCTTAAAAATAAATACATTGAAACCCCTTAATCTCCCTTTAATCAATTTATATGCTGCAATAAATGATATCCACCATAAATTATTCAATAAGTTCTTTATAGACTATCCTCACAGAGATTTGAGAAATTAAATCATGCACATAATCTACTGTATTTTATTTTCTAAGAATAGACTACAGGAGAAGAAATCACTATCGATACTATGACCTTTTCAAACTTTCTCTGAAAATGATAATACTTCTACTTATTTAACTGTCAAAAAGTATTTGCTATGTACCAAACCCTACACTAACATTTGCTATCTACCAAAAAATATTTGTTATAATACCAAGCTCTGCTAAATGATTTTGAGGATTCAGGGGAATATAAGAAAAAGGCTTTGCAACTGTATTCAAAATCTAGGTGGAGAAGGAAAACAACACACGTCAAGACAAGCAGGATAAGAACAGCATGTGCAAACTTCAGGTGAGTAACTAGGGCTGCAAAAGAGGAGACAAGAAGAGAAAGCCAACACACCTTTACCTCCAGTGACCAGGGAAGCTTTCATGAAGAGACATGATCTAAAACTTGAAGGATTGGCTGAGAGGAAAAAAATATAAAAATTATTTTATTAATTGCTCTTACATTACACAGTGTGGTGTTTCTCCCTGACTCCTGATACTCTTCTTAAATCTCTTCTTCCATTTAGTTACTCTCCCAAAACTAGAAGTCATCTATGATACCTCCCTCTCCCTCACTCCCCTGCATCCAATGCATCAAGTCCTTTTGACTTCCCTTGCAAATGAATCTCCAATGCAACCATTTTTCTCTGTTTCCACTGCTAACTCCCTAGCCACAAGACCTCTGCATTAACCTCTATCTCATAAGGCTGCTCTTGCTTCTCTCCAAGCTTTTCCTTTTCAGCAGCCAATGCAATCTTCCATTAAACACAAATAGGCTTCTGTCCTGGCTGAGATCACTCAGTGACTCGTCCTAGCCCTTGAAATAACATAGATTGCCTTTAACAGTCTCCTCAAGGCTCTGCAAATTTCTGGTCCTCATTGGCTTCTACAGCTTCATACTCAACCATTCTCTCCTGGAAACAAACAGCAACCTATCTGGACTCTGTAGCTGCACAAATAACCAAGTATTCCCTGCCTAAAGTTCTCCCCCCTCAACATTTTCTTGGATGGCTTCTATCTAACTATTATCTTAAACATCTTAAACATCCTTGCAGAAGAAAAGGCTTTGCATAACCAATTACCAACCCTCCCACCACCATTCCTGATAATCTCTCTCAAAATGCCCTGTACTTTACAGTTATATATGTAGGGTTTTACTTAAAGACTATTTTTCCCTTCAATAGATGAATGGATAAAAAAAAATGTGGCATATGTATACACAATGGAATATTACTCAGCAATAAAAGAGAATAAAATCATGGCATTTGCAGGTAAATGGATGGCATTAGAGAAGATAATGCTAAGTGAAATTAGCCAATCCCAAAAACCCAAATGCCAAATATTTTCTCTGATATAAGGAGGTTGATTCCTAGTGAGGTAGGGAAGGGGAGCATGTGAGGAATAGATGAATTCTAGATAGGAAAGAGGGGTTGGAAGGGAAGGCAGGGGGTAATTAATGATGGCGGAATGTGATGATCATTATTATCTAAAGTACAGGTATGAAGACACGAATTGGTGTGAATATACAGAGATATGAAAAATTGTTCTCTATATGTGTAATAAGAATTGTAATACATTCCACTGTCATATATAATAAATAAATAAATAAATAAGACTATTTTCCATTAGTCTCTAGTCTGAACCATAGCAGGAATGATGTATATTTTATTTACTACATATCTCCACTATCTAGATCCCCTAATAAAAATTAAATGAAAAATTAAATTGCCCAATTTCAACAGCTAAATTCATTTTCATTTTTCTCAAGAGTACTGTTTCACAGTTTATTGTTAAGTGTCAAAACAAGTATCTAACTTAAAATGTTCTACAAGTTTTTTCAACATCCTGTACATCTTCTCATTGGTCAATGCTACAAGCCCCCTCCCTTTCTCCCAAATATGAATAATTAAAAAAATAAAATAAAAGTCTCATACTGCTGGGGTGGAAGTGTAGCTCAGTGGTAGAATATCTGCTCAGCATACACAAGACCCTGGATTTGATCCCCAGCACTATAAAAAAAAAAGAAAAAAAAATTCCGTGTTTCATACAACCCCAAAAGCACTTTATTTCACACTTTAGTTTCTGAATGTCTTTTTAAAAAAATTGTTTCATTCTTTCTGGTTTTACTTCTAAACTTACTCCAAATATGCAAAGCTGAATCACAACTTCAGAAATATTTCCACCTTTAATTTTAACATCCAGAAGAAAGAAAGATAAACCTCCCAGAATCCTCAGAGGGAAAGAGAGAGAAAGGAAAACTCAGACTCCCAGAGATGAAGAGAATGAAGTAACAGAAGCTTGGAAATCAAACCCTCTCCCTAAACAGGTTTCCTATCCCCAGGACTTAAAATACACGCCCTTTCTTCCCCTGAACTCACTCTTCATATTTTATCAAAAATATTCATAGGTGCAATAGTTCCATGGAACAAAGGTACTAGAAAAACCATGCATCCTCTCTAAACATGTATCCCAAGATTGTCTTAAAAATTAAAATAGTGAACTGAGTGCTTATCAGTCAGCAACTTTTCTAAACGTTCTACCTATAGTAAAACACTCAGTTCTTTCCCCAGAAATCCTATGTAGTAGGAATTGTTTCTATCATTGTTCTAAGGAAAGTAGGCTCACAGAAGCTAAATAACTTGTTTAGCCTCACAGAGCTATTAAGCAATAGAGTCATTTTTCAGAGATAAAAATGTTACATATCCGCTCTTGCATCATTCTGCCCTTGTAACTTACACCAGGTATTTACAAGAAGACTTATCAGATAACCTCAGCAGATAGATTCGTTCAATCCTGTGCTGGAGTTAGGAGCTTCAAGAATGAGTAATTATTCTTTCCCTCCTAGAGCTTAAAATTCAATAAAGAGACAAAATAATGGATCGTATAAGAGACTCACCACAGGAGTCTCTGTGAACATCTTCTCAGGGAAAGTCACATCTGATCTGGGTAATGACAAGTCCATGGTCTCACAAGTAATGTGGAGCCCTGACCATACACCCTTAACTCTGAGTGATCACCTTTAAAATTACACACAGTAAATTTTAAACCCCAACTTTAGAAACCAACAGAACAAAAAGAATGAGTGAAGAAGTAATGTAGTAATTAATTATCACTTGTCCTTTGGGATCTGTTGCAAAACCCCCAGCGGATGCCCAAGTGGTTGATAGTACCAAACTATCTCTGTCTCTGTCTTTCTGTCTCTCTGTCTTTCTCTCTCCATATATATCTTTTTCTAATACATATGTTCCTATGATAAAGTTTAATTTCTAAATTAGGCACAATAAGAAATTAATAAGAATAACTAATAATAAAATAGAAAAAATATAACTACACTGTAATAATATGTATGTGGATGTGCTCTCTTTCTTACTCTCAAAACATCTTTTTGGAACACAGTTGGCTGAAACTGTGAAGGCAAAACTGTAGATAAGGGAGGTTTTATGGTTTGGATATTAGCTGTCCCTCAGAAGTTCCTGTATCAGTGCAGGAGTTAAAATGATCAGGCTATGAAATCTATAGAATAAATTATGGATTAATCCGTTTAATGGATTAATAATTTGAATGGATTGCTGGGTTGTGAGCACGACTGGAAGAAATGGGTCACTGGGAGGTGTACCTTGAGGTCTAATATTTTGTCTCGGGCTCTTTCCACTCTCTGCTTCTCACCTGCCACGAGCTTTGAAGATTTTCCCTGCCATGCCCTTCTGCTGTGATGTTCTGCCTTACCTCAGGCCCAGAGCAATGAAGTCAGCCAGCCATGGACTGAACCTCTGAAATCGTGAGCTCGGAATAAACTTTTCCTTCTTCTAGTTGTTCTGGTCAGAAATATACATAAGTCACAGCAATGAAAACCTTGAGTAATACAGGGGACTACTATAGTGAAAGGGTTGTCATGTGGGAGAGCAGTAGAAAGAAGGCTGAAGCTTAAAGCCTAGAGTTGGGGCCTGCCAGGGCAAGGAGTGTATTTGCTCCACGGAATCTCAAAATGTCTTAGACTGGAATCACAAGGCACCTCTCAAGGCAGCTTTAAAAAAAAAAACCTGTCTGGAGTTTTTAAGTGTCCTCCATTCTGTAGTACCAGAAGAATTCCCCCCACAACTCTGGGCAAAAGATAGGAAGCTTACTGCCAAGAAGAACAGAACCTCCGGGGTTCTTAACTCAAACTCCAGGCATAGCTAAAGGTAGGGGCAAGGTACCAAAAAGAGATGGAAGATGTGAAAATCTATGCACTGGATGGTGAGGTTCTCAAGCCCCTTTCCTAAACCTGGAATTACACCTCTAGGCAGCAAACTATAAAATTCTTCTCTGAGAAAGTAGAATGGTCCAAGAGAAGAAAACTATAGATGTTGACATTTGGAGTCTCACAAGGAGAAACTTGAGTTGCAACCCACTGCCTGCTGGTAGCTGGTCTGTACCGCCCAGACACATAAAGCTTCACTGAGTTTTTCAGGGCCACACTCTTAACCATGCTGGACAGGCAGGAATCTCCACACATCCTCTCACATGAAAGACATATCAAAACATGGCGGTTGGCGGGCGGGGGGGGGGGGCAGGGAAGCAGGAGGATGGAGAGGACATAAGAAATAGAGATCTAGGCAGCAATCAGTAAGAAAATTTCAAGAAAAAATAAACTTGAAGATGCTATATTTATAAAACAAAACTGAGAGACTAAAAAAATTTTTTTAATTTATATCTTAAACACAAAGATTATGTTGTATTATCCTTTATATAAATTTGAATACCTTGAATATCCTTTGATACTTTTTTGAAAAGGAAAAAGTATAACTAGATTGAAATCATAAGCTTTATTGCTAGTAAAAGATATTCATTTTCTTATACTTCAATAACACTTTTGATAGATGAAGAACAAGAACAAACAGAGCTCACAGTTCTATGAAAAATGAACAGTCAGAAAATCAAAAGTTCTTAAAATTAAAATGACAGCAGGATAAGTCAACAGAAAGGTTTTAAGATAAAAATCAAGAATGCTCCCAGCAAATAGAAGAACAAGATAAACAACTGGGAAATGGAAAAGAAAGAAAATAAGCCAATCAACCCAAAATATTTTTTTTCCTTTCTTAAATTTTTTTTTTGTTCTAATTAGTTATACATGACAGTAGAATGCATTTTGACACATGATGCATAAGTGGAGTATAACTTCTCATTCTGGTTGTACATGATGTAGAGTTACAAAGATCATGTAATTATATATGCACATAGGGTAATAATGTCCTATTCATTCTCTTATTATTTCTGCTTTCATACTCTCTTCCCTCCATTCACTCCCCTCTGTCTAGTCCAAAGTACCTCTATTCTTCCCTAGCCTTCTCCCTTCCTTATTGTGAATTAGCATCTGTATATCAGAGAAAACATTCAATTTTTGGTTTTTTGAAATTGGCTTATTTAGCTTAGCATGATATTCTCCAGTTTCATCCATTTACCAGCAAATGCCATAATTTCATTCTTCCTTAAGACTGAGTAATATTCCATTGTGTATATATACCACAGTTTCTTTATCCATTCACCTGTTGAAGGGCACCTCAGTTGGTTCAATAGTTTACCTATTGTAAATTGAGCTGCTATAAACATTGATGTGGCTGCATCACTGTAGTATGTTAATTTTAAGTCCTTTGGGTATAAACCAAGGAGTAGCAACCCAAAATATTTAACATATGACTGATATGAGTCCTCAAAATAAAGAATAGAGCCTCAGCTACCATCTTATCTCTTTTCTTTCCTTTTTTAATCAAGACGCCTTAAAAGAGCTGTATACATCTGCTATTTACAACCCTTCCCTTACCTCTCTTAACCCACTCCCATCTAATTTTCACCACTATCACTCCACTAAAACTGTTTTTATCAAGATAATTGTGTGGGAAGCCATCTGTGAACTGTGTGTGAACTAAAGCAATGTTGAAACCATTAGGCAGGAAAGCCTGGTATCAGGAACTCCCATTAGCAATGCTGCTGGTTTGAGAATGTCTGGTTCATGTAGCATCCTGCCTAGTTCCATCTTAAGTTCAGCACAGCATCAGAGATGGGGTGACCTGCGGGAACCACACAGCCTCTCAGAGATGGGTGTGGCTTGCCAAAATGCCAATCAACTTGTTTACTCAAGACCCCTGCCTCACTGAGAAGTAAGCACTGAACCAAGACCCCACCCGCTGACACCGTATCCCTGCCTTTGATGTACTCCCCCTTAAATAAAGAATCGGAGCCTTTTTTGAGTTGTTCAGTTCCAGCTTTTATTAGGACTAGAAGACCCATCAGAAGCTTCCCTTTCCATATCTAATTTCTGGTTCTGTCTTTATTTCTTACTGATTGTTTCAGACGTTTTATTTCCTAGGCAGCTCACACTTCCTGAGCAGGAACTGACCCTGTCATGGTGCTGGTTACCTTGAAAATCAGCCATAAGAAGTTCATTTCCATCTGTATATGGGCTAAAAATGGGAGTTCATAACTCACTTGAAGCAAAGTGTGAAAGATGATATATCAAGAACTATGTAATGTTTTGAACAACCAACAATAAAAAAAATATAAAATAAAAAAAAAAATAAATAAATAAATAAATAAATAAATAACTTTTAAAAAGAAAAAAAAAAAAAAAAAAAGAAGTTCATTTCCCATCCTTCATCATACATTATCAGTATCACTGGACAAAGTACATCATTCCCTCCTCCTTAGAAATCTTTCTTTTCTTGGCTTATGGAACTCCAGGTATGCTTGCTTTCGCTCCTACCTACCTGGCCTTTCCTCTCAGCCTCTTATGTTGTCTCCTAGTCATCTCTACATATGGACAGTGTCTCCAGGTGCTCCTTAGGTCTCTACTCTTTATAAGCCACCTTCATCCCCCCTCCTTAGGCCATCTCATCTAGTTCTGTGGGCATATGAACCACCTGGGCTGTTGACTTCCACATCTACATGGCCAGAGCACATGTCCCACCACCCAACATGAAGACTTAAGTGTCAAACTGCCAATTTCCATCTAAATTTAAATGTGTGATGGACAGCTCATGCTTCCAATGCCCAATTCCCAACTTGCCCTTATCTTTCCCCTTCCTCCCAACCAAAATAAAAATCTGTTCCTTCTGGACTGCTCCCTCTTCAATTTTTAGCAACTTCTTTTTTCAAGCTCGAGTCAAAACCTTGATGCTCTCCTTGATTGTCTTTTGTCTTTCCCCCTAGATGTGGTCTGTGCACAAATCATGACACCTCTATCTTCAAGACACAAAAAAGGACTCCACCACCATGTACAGCCTTACTGGCACTAACTGATATGAACCAACATTACCTCTCTGTGTTTTCTTATAACAGCCCCCTAAGTGGTACCCTCCTTCTATCTTTGTCCTCCTTCAGGCCATTTTCAACACCCCATCAAGACATAAGTCAAACCACATTTACCCTCTGTTCAAAACCCTGCAGACTCCCTTGCTACCCATGAGGTCTTGTCGTGATCTGATTCTCAGTTGCCTTCAGCTTCACCCTCTCAGCTCCCCCATCTGTACCCTTTACTATCGTCACACTTGTTTGTTCACTGTTCCTTCGGTACATGTGGATTTTGAACTCCCTTTTTTTGTGGTGCTGGGGATCACACTCAGGGCTTCTTGCATGCTAGTCAAGCACTTTACCACTGAGCTATATCCCCAGCCTGTGACCTTTTTTATTTTTCCTTAGCATTTTTCACTACTTAACATACTTTTATATATCTGTCTATGTATCTCTACCAATAAAATGTACACATTCCAAAAAGTTAGTATTTTTTGTCTTTGTATCTACTGTTGTATCCCCAGAGCCTGGAAGCCTACATCAATATAATGAAAATGTTTAATGATAAATCAAACAACCAAGAAAATAGAAAGGAAACGATTATCAAGGAACTAATTCAAGAAAATGTCTTAGAACTTAAGGATCTGAATTTACAATTGACACCTGATGTCCTACTGATAAATAATACCGGCACCAAGACTTAATGTTATGACATGTGAAGTGTTGGAAATTTTTTTAAAGACACTAAAAAAACATAACATGCAAAGAACTAAGGATTAAATTGCTATGAACTTGTTAGAAACAATGCAATACAGGAGGAAATCACAGTACCTTTAAATTTCAAAATAAGAAAAATGATTGATAGGTGATAGATGTAGAGCTGATAGACTAACAAAAATACTGGAAATATCTGGGAGGTGAATCTGGTTGCTCCTAAGGAATATCACACTTTGCCATGAGAGGCAGAGCAAGAACACCTTGCAGTATTATTTCCATGATTAACATATTTTAAATTATAATTAAGTTAAAACTAGAATGACTGAAATCTTTTTACACAAAGAAAAAGAGTTCTGACCTCTCAGAAGAGATGGCAGCCTCTGGAGCAGCCAGCTATGTAGAAGGTAAGCATGTCAACAGGAATGGTTGGAAATAACTCTGGGGAAGTAGGATGGTGGATTTTAATCTATGCTAATGACTTTGGACTTGATGCAATAGGACTTGAGGTGTTGGCAAAGAGTTCAAAGTAGCAGAGAGATGTGGTCATGTTTTGTAGAAATAGTATTCTGGCTACACTGCAGAGAACACATTAAATAGAGGAAAACTTGGCATAGGGGCAGAGAGTCCCTTTAGGAAACTGTTAGAAAAGTCAAATATAAAGATAGGTCTAAATAAAGTATACCGGAAACAGGGAGAAGATAGACCCATCACTTGTTAAGGACCTGTGGACCAATGGGGACCAATTTCCATCATGAAGCAAAAGGGAGAAGTTGAGGAGCAGAAAGATGTGTCAGTTGTCCCCGACAGAAACCAAGCATATGGCATTATTCTTGGGAACATCGCAGGCTGCTTCCTATGTACTCTAGTGTGAAGTGCTCCAAGAGAGGCATCTATTTACCAACTCTAGTTACTGTTACTTCTTAAAAATTTTAAGTGAACATTTATAATGATTGCAATTGTGCCTTTCTAAATTACTAAGTGGGAGCAAGTTCCTGTGAAAAGTGACCTCTTAAAGGAAGAATTATTCTTAAGTGCTAACTCCTCCTTAGGCAACATTTCTTTCCTATTTAAAAAAAAAATGTCTTGCTCTTATTCACGCTGAGAATGCTACTTATGGCTTCCTTCGCTCATGGGGACCTCAGAATTTGCCCCTCTTCTATAATCAGCTGTTAGTTTCTTCTTTCCTTCCATCCTTCCCAGTTTTCCTTCTAAAATTCCATTTTAATTATGTTCTTTATGAATCAAAAATATCCAAGAATTTTTTCTTCCCTATAGAACAAAAACATTCTTCCCATACAGTGTATGTACATCATCATTACCATTATTCATTCCAGCAATCTGGGGGTCCGGGGAAGTATCATCATCATCCTTGTTCTATATATAAAAGGGTCAAAAGAGAAACAGCAATTTCTGAATCAAAATTGAATGCTTTTCTGTTTTTCCCCTTACTTCTATTTAGTCTTCTAAGGTGCTTCAAGATGTTCATACTCTTCCTATTAATTTCTGTTGAGATGTTTAAAGTGGAGAGATTTACGGACGCGACTAGGATTCCTTTCTGATGTTCGTGGGAAGGCTGCGTGTACCTAAACTCCTACAAATGCATATCAAATTTTGCATTTGTTTTTATGTTTTTTTGAAACAGAATTTAAAATATTTATCAAATTCTTCAGGCATCCGTAGCCTTAAGAACAGTTCTTAAAAATACTTAAGAACACCACTTTGCAAGAAAGCTGATCCAGGAGATTGGGCTACTACTCCCTCTCCCTCCTCTGCTCCTTGTCCAGTTCTTCCCTTCAGCCTTAAATGACTTCTCCACTCATAAAAAGTCAAGTTTCTCTCCCAGACCAAGGGTACATCTCCTTCCTTGTGGTCTATGCAAGCCACAGGGGCCAAGTTCTCCCCTGAAGTGTTAGCACCCATGTTTTGTGTAGCAAATCTAGTCATTAGTGATAGAGCATCTCGTGGTACCGCTTGTGTTTCTGTGCTTTGGTTACTGTGCCATTCTGTTTGCTATGTGCTTAATAGATTTTAAGAATCTAGGATCTTAGACCTCCTCACATACTCTCTAGAGCATCTTTCCCAGAGCTCGTACAGCATGGATATTCAATGCATGTTTGCTGATTTGATCTGAGACAACTATCAAACTTTTCATTAAAATGCAAGCTTTATTCCAGTGTTTATTAAATGTCTACAATATTCCAGGGCCTATCATGGAAATGAAAATATGGAAGAACTTCTTGTGCAATGTAGTGAGAGAACCATTTAACTGGGACCTCCTGTCATGTTGAAGTATAGACAGTAGACATGAGAGAGGGGTATATTCAAAGGGATGTTTATGACTATCAAAAAAATGGGGTTTATTGACCCAATGGCTAAGAACAATAGGGGAATAGGAGTAGAGAATAGCAGGAACATAGAGAAGCTTATAGCCCCACAAAAGGATCAATCACAGGAGGGAGGTGATGCCAATCAGCCTTCCTTTACAAGACAGAGGAAAATCTCAAAATCTGTGTATGGCACTGGCTTGTGGTCACATAATGATCATCTGTCTGAAGTTAATCATGAAATATAGAAACACACTGAAATGACGGCAAATTTTAAATATGTCACAATTTTAACGTTGGTGAACTAAAAAAAAAAAAGAAAAGAAAAAGAAAACTGGGCCCTGAGTGAGCTCTATGTCATCTTGAATGAGGTCCACATCCAGTTGTGGATGCATCCCATGCTGGTAGCTCCAAAATATTATATATCTAGTTTGTGAAGCAAAATTAGATACAAAAACATGGACCAACAATATGGTTGATAATAGGAAGCGGAACCAAAAATAAATGGACAGTAAATAACAGATGCATTTGATATTTCTGAATTATTAAAATATTTTAAATGATATCATGTAAATTTTATTATAAAACCAAGTTCAAAAATATTCATTTGGTAATATTGTGCACAATCTTTTCTAGGTTATATCTGAACAGAAATCCATCAGAAACACTGACCACCAGCATCAAAATGACCATAAAATGAAACATATGTTAAATCAGCAGAGAACACATTAATTCCAACCAATGCATAACATCAGTTATTGGTACTGAAGTTCACCAAGAATTATATTCAATGAGCTAATTTAAATTATATTTAATATTATGAAGTTTTAGAAAGTGCTCTGAAACAATGTTTTAATTGTCTTCAAACCAAGAACATATGACTAGACGGATTAATTTCACTGGAGATGAGTATTTCTGGTAGCCTTATATGAATAGGCTTTTAATTGATTATCCTTTATTAAAATTACTTTTTCAGAAAATGCTTTAATGTTCTAAGTAGGCTGTCATCAATAGCTTTTGGCTGGATAAAACATCTTTTTCCATTTTTCTTCTAAAAAGGATTATTTTTTAAAATAGCAAGTGTTCACTATTATAAGCTATGCTTCCTTCCTTTTCTCTCCAGGCCCACCCATGCATTGCAACCCACCACAACTCCCAAGAAGCCAGAAAGGTTATTGTCTCTCCTTAGATATTTATCTATGTAAATACAAACATGTATATGTATATTCTTTTTTGGAAATGCACTATGCATATTCTTTTATTTTTCCTACTAACAGTATGTCCTGGTCATCTTTCCATATTAGTAGACTTAAAATTGCCATACTTCCTTTAACAACTGTGTAGTATTCCATTGTTTGAAGTCCCATGATTATTTTATTGGTCCCCTATAAAATAATCATTAGATATTTAAATTATTTCTAATTATCCCTATTATGTATCATAAAGCAATGACAATCCTTGTATAAATATATGTAGGTAAATATTTAAGGTAAATTGCTAGAAGCAAATTTACTATTAAGTAACCACATGTTCATTTTAAATTTTAATATACTATTGTCCAATTGCCCTGCAAAATGATTGCACCCTTAATCACAGCTCTTTAAACATAATTCTGATAGCATAGTTCAAAAGTTTTCAAAGGTTACTCAGTTCCTAAAGAACAGAGTTCAAAATCCTTAGCCTAAGGTTTATGATCCTGCCCAATTTCAGATCCATCTAGTTTTGTTTGTTTTCGTCTTTGTTTTAGGTTCTGGGGAGTGAATCCAGAAGGGCCCCTACCTCTGAGTTACTTCCCCAGCCCTTTTTAAAACTTTATCTGGAGATAGGTCTTGCTAAATTGCTGAGGCTGCCCTTAAACTTGCAATCCTCCTGCCTGTGTCTCCAGAGTAACTGGAATTACAGGTATGTACCACCATGCCTGGTTAGTTTTTTAAAAAATGCCATTGCTTCACAGTTGGTTGAAGTGACATTGAGGAGAACCATGAACCTATGCTAAAAATGATAAACTCTATTCTCTAGACAAATGCACTCTTTTCTGGAGCCTTACCATTCCAGGGGGGGAAAATCACACTTTCTCCCCTCTGGCATTGCTTATGCAGTGTCCCTTTCCTATAATTCAGTCACTCATTCATGGCTGCAAAGCCCTAGGTGATCTGGTGCCTGGCTACCTCTCCAACTATCTTGTTCCTCTTTTCTGTTTGACGACACACCAAATACTCCAGTCTCATGCCCTCTGCTTATGTCACTTCACATGATGATCTCTAGTTCCATTCATTTTCCTACAAATGACATACTTTTGTTCCTCTTTATGGCTGAGTAATACTCCATTGTGGATATGACATATTTTCTTTATCAGTTCCCCTGTTGACAGGCAACTGGGCTGATTCCATAACTTGCCTTTTGTGAATTATGCTGCATTAAACACCGGTATGCAGGTATTTCTATAGTATGGTGACTTTAATTCCTTTGGGTATATACCAAGGAGTGATATAGTTGGATCATATGGTAGTTCTAATTTTAGTTTTTTGAAGAACCTACATACCATTTTCTGTAGTGCCTGTACGAATTTACATTCTCACAGTGTGTAAATGGGTTTCTTTTCCCCCACATCATCACCAGCAGTTATTTTTATTCCTGGTAATTGCCATGCTGATTGGGGTGAGATGGAATCTCCGTGTAGTTTTCATTTGCATTTCCCTGGTGGCTAAAGATGTTGGGCATCTTTTTTTCTTTCACATAACTATGGGCCATTTGTAATTTTTCTTTGGAGCAGTCTCTGTTCAGTTCATTTGCCCATTTATGGATTGAGTTATTTGCTTCTTTGGTGTGAAGTTTTTAGTTCTTTGTATACTCTCCAGGTCCATCTTATCAGAAAAGTTGTCATTCCTGGTAACAATTTTCTCCCATTCTGTCAGGTGTGTCTTTGCTCTGTTTCCTTTGCTGTGCAGAATTTTTTTAATTTGATGCTGTCACATTTGTTTCCGAGCTTAGTAACAATATCTCAGAGGCCCTTTTGCCTTTCAATACCCAGTCATTTGTGTCACCGGTGGATCCATATACCATCTCAACATACTAGATCATATGCAGAGGGCTCACACA